TTTTGACTGAATGGGTACTGTGGCCCTCTCACTTTATCCCAGCAGTTGGGGATGGATATGCTGCATGATGGTGTGTGAGTTTGTTTGAATAGGTACTGCCTGTCCGTACTCTTTGTACTGTGCATTGGGCCTGCTGTACCCAATCAAACAAATTACACAGGTAAAGACCTGTTGGAATTTGTGGGATTAGGTACTCCTGCAACAGGAGTACAGTTGAAGTCTGTGGGATTGGGTACTGTGAGATAAGAATGTTTTTCCAAGGTCTTGAAGTTTGTGTGATTGGGGAAGGTTAGGTCCAGCAACCCTCAGGTGGTTAGGGTTAAGCCCCCAATCACTGGCTATCAAACTAAATGGACTTCTGGAGCTTAGACCTGTTACTAGAGCCCTAGCACGTCTTTCCCTGCACAGGAAAGTTTTGACATCCCCATCGTGCAGGCATTTTGAATACTTTGTATTTTTGTAGTTCTAACATGATGATATAAGATGGAAGTAATTCTGAATAATGTACTCTACATGCAAATAACATGCATGATGTTTTGTCATTAGCATGACGCATTAAACTACCTCAGCAGAAAACACGCATACAGCGGCACTCATGCGCATGTGTTCGCATTCTTTACACAAAGTAAATCAAAATGCTCGATTACTGGTTGTGCGTTTGTTTGGCCTTGTGCATGCATGTTTGCAAATAGAGGTTGCGCATGGCAGCTATCTTTCCAGTCACTGCTTTGGTTACAAAGGGATAGTACAAAAGGTCTACTCATGTGTATCCCGGTGGAACAAATGTCCTTACCGGAAAAATTACCGCCATGCAGAACCTCTATGGCGGAACCAAAGCCGTGCAAGATTTTGAGTTTTCCATAGGCTTTGTGCACAAACAAGGATACGCCCAACAGGCTTCACTTTGTACAGATAGCACTCTAGCAATTACATGTATACTTGTAGCTCTGTGGTCTAGAGACTTCTGTGGCATTGCTCCATGGGACCAGGCCCAATCATTTACAAAGTAGGCATTCTACAGTGCTTCTGTTGATTGCCTGATGCTATTCACTCTGTGCGGGAATCGCCAGATGGCATGCTTGATGGTCCTTCGGTGGGGACTCACTGCTTCCGTGTGCAGGTGTGTCTGCATTTGGTTCTAGATGCAGTTAGCACAATTGATCCGTTTCTGTTGAAATGCATGGTGTCAGCATGGGCGTGACTACTCAGATGACACCATTCCAACACTCCCGCATGTGTATGCAGCGTGGAGGAGAATATTTGGGTGTGAGCATGTAGCTTTTGTTCCAGTGTAATTCACTTACCTTTACATATATGTATATTCATCCTGAGGTTGAGGCAGATTAATTTACATTACACCTTATTGCATTGAGCAGATCTAAAACTAAGGATGCTTTTCATACCTTTCAGTCTTCTTGTGTCTTAAAACTAGACAGGATTTACCTACATACATCTGTTTCTGTTCGTGTGTCTTTACAGTATGGCTCAGCGAGAAGCAGTCACATCAATCCCAACAAGGTCAGTGTAGTTCTTTTTTATTTGAGTTAAAACAGAGCCCGGTGCATAACACGTGAACCAAAAGTGGATCGATAAATATCATAGAACAGCCCCCAAGTTTTGTTGTTTTTCCTCAAGGGGGAACACAAATGTTCTTTTGATGACAGAGGGAAGACAGTTTATTGTACCGTGAGATAAAAACTAAATCATTGTTTTGTTTCACAATGCTTCATCCAGTGATTAAGCTCACTGTGTGTACTCTGTAACTAGTATTTGATTTACATGTGAAGCCAATGCGTATACTGCACTTCTTTTCCAATTTAAACTTAATTGGGAAGCCATTTGGTTTTTTTGTATGTTTGCTCATGCTCGTCGCACACGCCTGCCATGTTATAATAAATTTGAAGTGCACTCTTCACAGCAATATGGTTGTTATGTATGGGTCATGTTCATCACATTGCCTGCTGTTTTTGCCACTTTTCCCCTGTCTAGTTCGGTGCCTGTTTCAGCACCCTCGTTGCCGAGAAGCAGAAAGTCAACACATTCCAGGACTCAGGCAAGAAGAAAATACAAATTTCCAAGGACAACTACTATCCAGTAAGACTCTTGTGTGGTTTTTAGCCTTTGCATAATAGGCTATGTATTTGAACAAAGTATGACGTAGGACATCGCATATTGGCCAGGCTACATTGTCCTAAATCCATTCAGTTTGTCGTCATCTTCATGCGTGTATAAAGATGCCGTTTTCCTTCTGATTCGTGTACTCCCCCCAAAAACCCAGAGAACGCACAACAGTTATGATTGCCAATGAATCACTGTTTTTCACATTTGTGAAAGAGTCTGTACAGGCAATAAACCTCTGTCCTGATGTATGTTTTGTATGCTTGTGCAAACAAGAAAAGAAGAAAGGATGACCCCCCAAAAATACTGCCACAACTAGATGTTTGACTTTTCTGAATTTATAAAGAGTTTTTTCAAGCAATTTTTTTTCAAATGTCCAAACAAGTAGTGTTGAACAAAAAGTCCTCTCTCTGCTCTGTTCAGTGTTACAGTGTGAAAAAACAGGACTTTGTCAACTTTGCTCCTGCATACATGTACATTACCTGGCATGTACACTTTTAATAATGTCTTGGTTTACAGTACAAGACTACAGAAAAGCTTCAAGATTCATCTTGAAGAACTTTGAGTACCCCTGCTTTTAATGATAAATCTGGAACTTGTGGCAGTGAATATTGGCATAAGGCAAATTTTGAATACGACATGTTTTATGTGGTGTCAATAACTGAGAAGCCTGTATTGAAAATTCACATTGAAGGCCATTATGGAAAAATATTGCTTTAAATGTGAAACTGGACAGGAAGATTTAGTGAAATTTGATTATAATTCCCCCCAATAAAAAAACCTGGATGTAGTTTTGCTTATAAAACAGTCCCGAACATGTTTCAGTATTCTTTTCAAGCTCAGAATAAGGCCTACCAGGTGACAGTACATGTACATGGGTTTGGTAAGAATCACATGACTGCTGTAAGGGCCTTTGAACAGTAAATCCACTGTTTTCAAATTCAGGGGAGATCATTTGAGCATCAGGACACTCATACACTTTGTGAATTATACAGTATATTCAGAAATGGAAACAACTCTTTTTCTCTCTCTTTTTCAAGTTTCTGGGAATTTCTAGGTCACGTTTGCCATTATGCTTAACTTTCAGATCACCCAGACCAGTAAGTCCAAGGCAGTGTTACAGGCCTGGTTCCAGGACCTGGCAGGCAGTAAGCCGCTGCCGTATCTAGCAAAGAGGGTAAGTTGGGAACAGATTGTGGAACACTCAATGAGAACTCAGCCTCAAGTGCTCTCTGCTCATGAAAGCAATGTAAATGCTTGCTGATGTTTTGAATAGGTTTCTAGTGTATAATAAGCACAGAAAGAGGACAGGTGAATAGAGCAATAGAGCCTGGTCCATATCATATTGTTTACCTGGTAGATATCCAAAAACATCAAGCCTGTTTGGTAAGACAAGGTTATTGAAGGACAAAGAACTCGGTGTCATCCCAGCTCAACCACGTTCTGTGTAATTGAGTTGACATACCGTGTGATAGTGCCAGCCTTGTGCACCTACTGATGTTCTCACATGACCCACCCCTCACTGTACTTCACTTTGAGCATGCATTATTGAAATACCAACCTGGCTCTTTATCAACAAATTTAGTTGATACAGGAGAAATGCCATACCTTTCATTGTGGCTCCACCTCTTAAGTTTTACATTTGTCAGGTCTCAATAAATTTCCGAGAATCTGCACAAAATGCGTTATAGTCACCAAGACGTCTTGTATGAATCTTGTTCACAGGTCCCCCTTTTTAACAAGAAGGATGATATCTTTGTGACCCTGTACGAGTACGGGGTGCCCATGACCAGGGCCACGTGGTTCCTCAAGATGACGGCCGCACACTCTGCCGCGATGTCAGAGACCAAGATCAAAAAGCGGGCACCCAACGACCCCTCACTGGGTAATGGCTTGCTATGGAATTTTTTGTCAGGTTCTCAAACATTTGTGTTTCAAAGTTAATGTCAGCCACTGAGACAACTTGATCCAGGCACAATATATGGGCATGGTGTGCAGCATGTAAATGTTGTCACAGTTCAGCTTCTACATTTGATACGTGGTTACAACGTTTTAAAACTTCATCTTTTGCTGAAAATCATTTCTTTTCTGAAACTGATAAATCAGAACGTCAACTCTAGAGGTGAAACTTTTCCGATTTTAATGAGAATTCCAATTTTTAAATTATTTTCCAATTGAAGTTCCAATTAACGATTTTTGTTGCAAAATCAAGTGGAGGTGCTGGCTGATATCAGCTACAGACAAATAATATTTTGCCTAGAATCGGCAGACTCTTAAAATTGTAATTAAACATTTCCTGTCGAAGTATTTGTAAACGTTCAACCGAAACTACTGTTCATGTGTTGTACTCTGCTGTGTAACTCAGATTTCTGAGACAACTTGCAGTCGCTTTTTGCAAAGAACACAGCTTCCATATGTTCAGTCTGTAAATTAATAAGGCATGTGATTGCTGTTCCCTCGAGAAGGACCTTAGTAATGTCAAAGGCATGGATGCCAGTCTTTATTGTGTTGAATTGTAAAAGACTAGATGTTTTGTATGGCGGTAATTGGGAAAAAAACTCCAACCATTTTAAGCAGAATTCATGTTCCTCATCAATAATCAATCTTTAATAGCCAGCAACTTTCCATTTTTACGTCGTTTGCACTAAACACAGAAGCATTTCAATATTGACAACTTCAAAACTTTATGCCAGGAATGTTTCTCTGCCATTGGGTCTTTTGATATGTTATCTTCATGTATCCAGAAGCAACGGTGTGACTCTTCCTTGGAAATGAGCAACCACTACATAGTTCTGTAGTTCTGTGCAAAAGTGGAAAGGTTGTCATGCTATTGCCAAATTGATAATTCAAAAACAAAAACAGGTCTGAACAAATTTTGTAACCATTTGTTGCAATCCTCATGGTAGACTGGTGCCAGATGCTGACCAAGTTCTTGCGGGACCAGCTAACAAAGATCGTCGAGTACCACCACACTTTAGCCGCCACCCAGTCTGCCACCATGTCCGGCCTGGGATCTCTTGCCGCCCCTTCCAGCCTGCCGCTGGAGATTGAGCATGCCTTCAACCTCTGGCAGTATAACTGCAGACTGGCCCGGTATCTCTATCAGGTGACTACCTCGAAAACAGCTAGTTAGGAAGATTCAAGGCCACAATTAGCTAACCATTTCTTGTGTCATCAACTCTAACCTTCCCAGATCTTTTCTAAAAAAACTTGGAGGTTTAGAAGGGTTTTTAAGGACTGAGAAGAGCAGAGCTAAACCTTGTGATGTGGCATAGGGCTTGATGGCCGTCAAAATTTAACATGAATGACAGAATAAGAGAGCATGTTGCAGGTTTCCTACAAAGTCAAGGGCTTTCAAGGACTTGCAGCAGAAAAAAAAATCGAAAACCAAAATATAAAAGGAAGCCAGACTGCAAATAGACTTTTTATCGCGAGTTGGATTCTAAACATTTGGACAGAGGGGTTATACTGGAACTGTAAAAAGTATTTCCAGAGCCCTACAAAAATACTTTTGTCTTTCTCTTGCAAACTTGTTGTCTCAAGCTGTGCGTCGTAGCCGTGGCGCACAGGTGTGACTCTGCATTAGGGCTCGCTTCACTGCACTTGGGGACTTGGAACGGGCTGAACCACAACACAGGAGCCCGGAGGTCACCCAGGCTCACATGAAATGTCAAGGAAACAGGGCAGGAATAATGTCAGTCGTTCATGTGACATGGTGCACAAGAGTAAAAGTAAAACTGAATTTGTTCATCCCAATTGTTGTCGATTTGTAGGAAGGGATGCTGGAATGCCACGAGTTTCTGTCTTGGCTCGTAGAGATCACTGAGAAGGTGAAGCAGCACGATGACAACACATTCAGGATCGTTCTGCCCTTCAATCTCCAAGTAAGCTACATTCATGGGATTTTGCTATCTGTGAGAAACGAGACCTCATGCTGTTTATCTCATGATATGGTATTGCAATTTGTCTCGGGCAGTTTGTGTGGATGCGAGACAGTCGATCGCCTTGTTGCTGTATTTGGATGGACTCAAGACTGCAGAACCCAAAGCGTGTGTCATTGTAGAGTGGAACAGTGTAAGATCTGGGGGAAGTGAAGATTGCCCTCGCTAAACGTGCCAAGGGATTTAATAAGAGTTACCGAATAAGAGATACAGCATAATAGGGTGTTACTCAGTAAGAGGTTTAAATTAGGTTTACTGATTAAGAATTTAGTTTAAGGAATAGGAATCGGGGTCCAGAAAAATTTTTGCTGAAGTCTTTTTGTTGCACTGGAGATAGAAAATGTGCTGTGCTATGCAAAAGAAGGAGTTGCGCTTGTCCAATAGGTCAGGGTGTATTTTCAACAAGTTCTTGTCCATGACGTTTATTACACCTGGTTCCTTCTCCTGCTGTGTTTAGTTTTTGGAGGAGTTTGTGCGGAGTCAGATGTTGTCTCGCCGTCTGGCCTACATGTGCGTCCGGCGCCTCACGGCAATCATCAACGATGCCACGTGTGCCACCAACCCACCAACACCCTCACCGCACATGGTGACCTCACCCACAAGGTACGGTAGGATCCGGGCCTAGTCAGGCTCTTAAGGGACTGCGCGGTTACATAAGCATGCACCGCTGATTATTGGCGCGTCCTGTCTGAGTGTGCTGCTTTGTACTGTTTTTCCGGCTCCATTGGATCCAGTGCTACACTGTTTGAGTGGGCCTGTGTTCTCTACCCCTTGACTTCTGTTGGAACACTTACAGACAGTCCAAAACTTCAATTCATTCTCCTTCCGCTACACTATGTAAAAATGTTATATGTTGATTAATTTTGGCTGAAAGGGCAGCTTTGAACAGAATTTTACGTTTGCTCTGGATGATTTAAAAAAATATTACTATTCTGGTGCTTTACCAGTAAATTCATCATCAGGTCTTTGGTCTGGACTGGATGCAGTGGAAAAAATGTTGCCTTGTTTGATCCTTTTACTTTTTTTTCTCCCACAAAAAAAGTGTCAGCATGCCAAGCAGTCAGCCCACCCCCCAGCCGGCGCTGGCGGCCATCTTTGCCGAGTACACCTCCTGCCCCCAGCACAGGCCCATCGTGGTGGGGCTGAGCCTCATCCTGCAGACGGTGGCCCTGCGCTGCCCAAGCGCCCTGGTCTGGATCAACATCGGCGAGGGCAAGAGCCTCAGTGCCCCGGGCTCCCCGCTGGACATCCTGCCCTGCGCCCCCAGCAGCTTGCCCCTGCCCGGCCCGCCCTCCATACAGAACCACCACGTAAGTCAGTGTCTTCTTCTTTTTTCCCCCTTCAGGTTTAACCCTAACGGGGCAGTGGGAGGATGTTGAAGGACTGAGAATGCAATGGCCCGGGGGATCAGGGTAAAGGATAGTGGAAGGGTCTCGTTGCAGCACGACATCTTCCCAAAGCCTGGGCAGTATTGGCTGAAATGGGCAGTTAAGACTATTCAAACCATTGGTGGCACTATACCCGCTGACAGTGTTAGCCAATCTCTTTAAAGCGCTTGCGTGTCTCTGCAGATTCGTGCCTCCATCCGTAATGCCGAGCACCAGATCAAGATGAGAAGTCGAGCAGCCGAAGTGAGGTGGTCGTCAGACAAGTGTCAGGAATCCACCACAGGTACTGAATAGAACATGAAACGCTTGACTTCTCTGAGCTTTTATGATATCATAGGACAATTTCAATGGGATGTCACTCAACTAATGGATTGTTGGGTTAGACTAGTTGACCATTTGGAGCAGGGCCGCGGGGCACAGTTGAAGAGCTGTCTTTCTCTTGTTGTGATTGGATAGAGTGATTTTTTGACCTTAAAATGATTGTTGAACATGGCAGAGACTGTGAACGCAGGGAGAGTTGGAACTGTTGACTATACTTGAGTTACGATGGGATTTGGTAAAATGGTTCAACAAGGAGTGTTTAAGTGGGACTGTACTTTAAGAAGTGATCAACTTCAATTTATAAAAAGAAGACAGTTGGGTATTGCCTTCAATTTTCACTGTGACAAACTGACCCACTTAAAATATTTTAATTGGTTCAAAATGAGACCAAGAACAGAAATCATATCCTGTTCTTTGGAAAATGCTGTTGGTATCCCGTGAACTTTTCTTTGTTGTTTTGCCTTTGTCCTTAATACTTTTTGTTGTACTCACTTTGTGAACTAAACCCCCCGCTGCTGTGCTGTAATATTTGAGTTTCCATGGTGAATTTGCATGCTCCAGACACCAAGATGGCTGCCCTTTGTTACCAAGGCGACAACCCCAATATAACCATGTATAACTGTAGAGGTAAATATACGCCAGCTGTGCTGTAACAGCCTTGCGGTTTTTAACTTTTTTGGTTAAGATGTTCATTTATCAAAAGTCTGTTGGTTCCTAACATTCATACATCGATTTCTGTTTGTTACCAGTCATTTGTTGTTGTTTACATCTACTGATTTGTTGTCCCTCTTCGGTCAATGTTGTAGCATGACAACATTCCTGCCAGCCACCAGCAAAATGTTATCAACAAGAAAAATGCAACTGCAATGATTGTGTTTTTGCTAAAGCCATCTGGTGCAATGCCAGAAGAAGTTTGAATATTTCCGATTGATCAACATACATTTCGTTCCAAGCTTTGGCCATGTGGATAGAATACGAGAGTTGTGACCTGTGTTCCATTTTGTTGTTGGTTGGTAAAAATCGTCAAATGGTTGAACGTCAGTTGCACTGTTGGTGTGTTTTGCTCACTGTGTGGGGCCACCTGCTAGGAATCAGTGACATTTCCTGTGAACATTTCTGAATGAGACTCTGTGAAGCACTACAGTTGTATCAAGCTGTGAGTTGCCCTGCTGACCTTAAGTTCGAAACCTACACCATTTGAATACTGAGGTAGTTGGGGATTATTAAAGCCATTCGCTATTTAAGAATGGAACTGTTGAAAGAGATTGTCGTTACACATGTTAAACAATCAGGTTCACAACTGAATGACTCTATAAAGAAACCCATACTCACCAGAAACAATAACACACAAGTAGTTACGTTAACAAAAAACAAACAAGAAAACCATTAACAACCCTAGGTGTTTACATGTAACTCCTCGCATTTCAAGTCAAGCCGCATGTTATTCAAATGAAGAATAAAACAGACTTTCAGTGTTCATCTACTGTGTGGTGATGATCTTTCCAGAAATGTGACCTATCATTCCAAAGCCGGGCTGAAGTCGTAGGTAGTTTCATTGCTTTTTTTATTTCTCACCCCACTGTTAATTTTCATGCTTCATAATGATCTACGGCGCAAAATTTGTTTGCGGAAAGCTCTGGTATATGTTTATATGTAGACTTTGCTTTGTTCACATGTATCATATATCGTACATGTGTAGCAGTGTCATTTTCCAGATAACAGCTTAGAAGCCTTCAGTCTGGTTTGGGAGTGGTGGGTCACAAATATAACTGTTGAGTCAACTTGTTTATGCTTCCGCATTGTGATGGACTTAACTGCATCAAAATGGAACATTTACATATTTCACCCATTTAACATACACCACATGTACATGGGGTACATACATGTATATGTGGGCTTTTGATAGTGATGAAGAACAGAAAGAGGTTTTTTTCCTTTAACAGTGATCTCCCGGTAACCATTGCCCATGGACACTTGTGTTGTTCCTTGGGGGCATTTTTTAGGCGACCTTGACCAGAAACTTATGTCTGGGTTGCTTATTGCTCGGGCAAATTTGTTATTTTTTCTTTCATGATGGAATCCAAATTGTTCTAACAATGCAAAACTCAGATGTAGATTGTGTTTATACACAGACATAGGTTTGAAGTCCCAATCCTCGTCATTCTCTGGTACCGTATGCGGTGCTCGATGATACGCCATCCGTCACAAAGTTATGCTCTGAACAGCTCCAGCTTTGTCACACAGTAGACTCCTGAACATCTGTAACTTTTGCAATCTCTATTTGTGAACAGTTTTGATCAGATAACACCATACTGGACACTTCACTCTGCTTTTTAATACTTGAAAGCGGTCAGAATGTCGCAAAAGTAAATTGCATATTTGTCACATACATGTACATTAAACACGTACACAGATTAACATAATGGTCTTGCATTCTGTAACTTACGGATGTAACTTGACTTTAAACACAATCAGGTGTTTCTGGTATTATTGTATGAATCACTGTGTTTAGATCACCTGGCAAATTATAACTCATCAGTTGTTTTGGTTGTTGACTGGTACTAACCATTATGGTGTTCCGCTGGGGAACATTAACATAATTTGCCTTGTATTTGCAAGATTTATCCCCATGCACTCTCAGAATGTTTTGTTCTGTTGTTAATCACTGTTTTTGGCCTCCATGGTTGAGAATAGCAAACATCCCTTATCTGCATAGCATTTCCTTGTGTCTCCAGATCAGGTGTCGTCACCACTTAGTGTGCCACATGCACTTTCTGAAGAGATCTTTTTATCATGGGGTTTATAACATTGCATTCAAGCAATACCAAGGGAGATGTGTTATATTTAAGTCAGAGACAGGACACGTACTTTGTACATGTATAACAAGTTATCGTATCGTGCATGCGACAAATGTTGGTAACTTGTACTGGTGAATTATTTGATGAAAATTGAATGAGTTTGTGGAACAACTGCTCTTTTTTCTCTGATATGCAAAATGTTCGTTGAATTTTAAAAGTCTTAGTGCTTGTAGTTTTGGTACAGAGAGCAATGGGTGGCTGTTTTGTGTGCTGTGCATTTTGGGTCCATGCTTAAAATGCCGTTTCCCTCTCACACAGTTTAAATAATCATGTTTTCTCTGGTCACTGTAAGTTCAGCAAGTTGAAAAGAAACTGCAGATTGTTAAAAGTAACGTTCCATTGTCACATGAACCAGCTAACAGAATCCACCCTAACCATTGGGGACAAAGAGCAGATTAATCGTGATCCACCCCAACCAAACCCTCGTCACGTTTCCTCAAAGCAGCCTGCCGCTAAAACAAATCCAGAATTGGATTTTATTGCACTGAATAACCCCAGTGTCGCACTGTTACAGTTGAACCACTCCTGACGATATTATTCTACAGCAGACTTGTCTCAGGTATGGCATTATTAACCCCTTCGAGCCGGAGACAGCAAACGCTATGGCTCTGTGGGAGGATTAGTGCATACCACACATACATTCTATTCATCATGCACCTGCGGTTTCAATGTGGGCGTGCTGCTGAACAGGGCTTTGCATTCTGGGCATACCACAGCCCAGCAGGTGCAGTCCTAAGCGTCCCAGCGGGAAGGGGTTAAAGGTTGAAATGTCAACTGTCAAGGACCACAGCCAAAGTCTTAATACAAAGTTTGACTCTGTAAAATGCTGACCCTCGGTGGTCATATAAGTTTTTGGCAACATTGCTCATCGAGTCAGTGTCGCACAGCGATATTTGCTACAATGCCCAGCCGTGACCCGCGGCCATTTGAGGGTTCCATACTCAGTCAGTCTTCATGGACTACTTTTGCCCTGAGTGTATACAAACTCAGTAGGAACAGCTCAAACTTGAGGACTAGTGTAGATGTCACATGGCACTTGTACGGCATTCAGAATTTTACCAGAGCGTGATTAAATACCGGTATGCCCTCTGTGGATACGAGGCAGGGCACCCTGCGACTTGCGTTGCATGCTATGTATCCTACAGCATACAACTAAAAAAGTCCAAGACTGCTGTTGCATTTCATTTCCATTATCAGGGTTCAGATGCACCCACAGTGTACATGGCACTTGGGTGGGGAAGCAACAAAGCCCATTACATGTATCTTCGTAATCTTTATTGCCGTCAACTTACCAACTGGGTTTTGCATCTGGTTTCTACTCTGCCACAGTATTTGAATTTTGATATTTCTAAACTGGGAAGCGATAGGCAGCTAACAAAGGTTCGAAAGTAATAGACCCATGTTGCCTTTTTAATGTTTGCTCTTTACTTTTTATTTGAATGTCCATTTGCAGGTCATACGATCAGCCGTGTGCTTCACGTGCTGGAGTTGCTAGACCGACACTGCTTCGACCGGTGCGACTCCACCAACTGCCTGGACTCACTGTACAATAAAATCTTCAACACCCCTCCAAACAAGGACGGATCGGATGTAAGTCTTCTGGGACATGTTGCTGCATTGTTTACTGCTGTGAACGTGGTATTTTAAGGCTTGGCTGGCAATCACAGAGTTCTTGGTTAATTCTCTCAGATTTTAGCTTCATTCTCGGTGAGGTTTCAGTGTTTGTCCTTGGGCAAGACATTTTATCCAAAGTTGCTACTCCTTATCAAGGACTAAATGGGTGTCTGTGAGGGAAGAGATGGATGTTGTGTTCTGTCAGCCATTTCTGCTTGAAATGGAAGCATAGACATGTGCACCCTATAGAAGGTTGGAATTGGTTTTTAACATAAAGTTGCTTGATATATCCGTGAAAAGTGACAAAATATCACTGGTCCCACAATTTATTTCCAGAGTTGTATTTGCCCGGTGAACAGGATTCACACTTACATGTGCATAATATTTTACATATATGCAGTGGGTAGTTAATGGTAGACTGTTGAGATGCTTGTTTGTGGCAAAAACATACCGGTCCCATGCTACTAGCTACTGTTGGTTACATTCACTTGAGCTAACGTTGGCATGCCCAGAATGATGCAAACAATAAGTGACCGGTTAAGTGGGGCTGAAATCTTAAAAGCGTCTCAAAAGTCTCCCATTTAGATAGTCAGCTGAACAGATAAATGTAAATGGTTGGACATGTTCAGAGCCCAGCTGGGACTGCACCTTGTGTTTTTTTTTTACCTGTAACTTCATTTTTACACAACTTGGCCAAGCGTATCCGTTTTTGTTGATGCCAGTATACTTGCAAGATAGGTGGTGAGAAAATGCCTGATGACCGTAATTTTACTTTCTGTCGTATCACGGATGATAAGATTGTGTTTGAGAGGTTTTGCTTTGTTTGCGCTCCTCTTTTGTAGATGCCGCTGAGCGACGATCCTATCATCTTGCTCCTGTGCGAGTGGGCCGTGTGCTCGGAGCGCAGCGGTGAACACAGAGCCTTGGTCGTGGCCCAGCTCTTGGAGAAACGTGTCATTGACTTGGAAAGCGAGGTGAAATTTCCCTTCACACCCCCTCAAAATAAAATTACCTCTGCTGTCTGTCTCAGGCCAAAGCTTGTAGCTCTCTTGCTAACTTATTTGGACTCTGATGGTGTATCCCTTGGGTGCAGACCATGCTCCCCATGAATTATTTTGAAAACGAGGATCTTGTCCCTACCTGGTACTACATTTACTGTTACCAGTGCTACGCTCAATGTGTACAATTGACTTTAGAGAGGTATGTTGCGTTCTACATTATGTTAACGTGTAAAAGTTTGCCTGCAGGCGGTGGTGGGTTCGATTCCCTCCCATGCTGGATTTTTCACACTTGCTTCAGGAAAGTGCTGAGTGTCCAGCACTCTGACGTGACACTTGTGAAAGGTTAACCAGACGTTCAAATTGGTATCACCTGACTCCAAATTCGGCCGCCAATTATCGTGGTGAAAAATTCCCCTCAGCCAGTTACAGGTACATGTGTTTCTGTACACCCCCCCTCCCCAAAATATTCTCATTCATGGTGATTCCTCCATGCTACAGCCTGCCACCGCTATTTATCCATGGCCCCCCCTTTCTAAGTTGTGAACATTGAACCATTTGGATTATTCACTTGACTTGTACAGAAGGCGGAGCCGGACTTGCTGGAGGAGAAGGAATCCCTATCGACAGTCTCCCTTATGCCAGGAGCTATGCCAATGTTACAGGGCCTTCTCACACACTTCTTAGACACCCAGGCACCAGTCTATGTCGGTAAGTACGTTGGTAAGCCTAAATTAGTAAGATGCATTGCTGTGGTGAAACATTTACATACATGCACACTGGAACTGAAAGTAGTCAATTATAGTGTTGAGGTTTGGCGTATTCCAAGGTTCAGCTGATCAGTCAAAACTTCTAATTATTTTACAAATAGTACTTTGTTTTCGTGGAAAAGTAAACAATAAATTTGTCTGAGATTGATCTAAGACATGGAGATCATAGTACAGCTAGAGGTGACAGGCCTTGTCTTTTACGTTAGAACAGGGTGACATTGTGTTCGCTTACGTTGCCATGTTAACACACACACGCTTATGGGCTCACACGGTTCAGTCCATAGTCGTCTACACACATGAAGCTTTAAAAAAATTTCTCTGACGTCATCAATTCAGATGCGCGACACGTCTCACGAGTGCACTTGTGTGCATTTCACGGGCACGTGTGGGTGTCCGCGAGGTACCAAGTTGTTTGTGTGTTATGCGACATTTTAAGTGCCCCGTGTCACCACTAGTTCTACTCAAGATCTCCATGAACTAAGATTAAAGTTTGAATGAAATGCTAAGTTTTGCGAGTTGAAGTGCAGTACTCACTGACCAAAAAGGAACAGCCCGGATCACATGCAGTGACTGCATATTCAGACAGAAATTGGTCCCAAGTGCTCCAAACCTGTTTGCATCTAACACACATGAGTGTGCACGCACATGCTAAGTTCCCACCAAAGGGCTATTGTTACCATGTAACATTGTTCCCGCTCAGGGCAGATAGTGCATCAGCCAATTTCACAAAATTGCGCCACAAATTTCTGCCATAGCTGCACAATATACTTACGCCCAATTTCAGGAAAAGTCAGTTAGTTGCACAATGTTTGAATTACATAAAATTTCTTTGGTGAGGACAATAACGACCATGTAATCAAGGTATAACCTAACGCAGCGTAATTAAAGGAGAAATTGACCTTGTTTTGTCCCAGATGAGAACGGCCCAATTGAGGACAGGCGAGCCTTTGCCAGCTTGGTACTTCTTTTCAGTGAGCTGATCCGCTGTGATGTCTTCTCCCACGACTCCTACATGTGTACTTTGATCTCCCGGGGCGACCTGACCACCAGCCCCTTGCCCTCAGCCAACAGCGAGCCCCCGCCCTCCAGCGAGAGGATGGAGGTGGACCCGGAGAAGAGAACGCCCTCGGAAATCAAGGAAGAGGTAGTGGAAGGTTTACATTTTGTCAGTTGCTTCAACACCAAATCTATCCAGGAACATTCTTTGAGAATGACCTCTTGCCACTTTTGCAAAGACTAATAGGATGTGATTTCTCACCTTTTTTTCTCAGATGTCAGCATTTTTCACTCAAAAATTCTCAGTTTTTAGAGAAGCAGGAATTCAGGTTTTGCTACTGTTTTGCTTTTGGTACAAAACTCGTACAACAATTGAAAGCCCTTGCATTTTACAGTGTTTTGGTGTCTCTTTTGACAACTTGTGTGCTGGATGCTTCAAGAATTTCCTTTGATCCCATAATCTCATCCCGAATGGTGTTTTTGAAGTGGTGTGTTGTCTAGTTCATAAATTATGCCCATGACAAGAATAGACTGATATGGGTATGACAATTTTCTTTTAAATTTGTTCACAATTAACGATAAAGTTTACATTAAAGTTCTTTACAAGGATGACGCCATGTAAAAGTGTATGAATTCATTTTGCAGCCTAAAGATATGGATGGCATAGGAATCAAACAGGAGCAGGAGGAGAAGGAAGAGTACGATGACTCGGATGAAGACACCAAACCCAGCGGCATCCACAAGAAGGAGTCCGTCTCCTTCCAGGAGAAGTTCCTGGAGGCCCTCCAGTCCAACAAGCTCAGCACCGAGGACTCTTTCTTTGAGGACGACAAGGACGAGCGGAAGAAGGCCCTGCGGGAAGGGGGGACCCCGTCCCCTCACCCGCCCCCACCCAAGCCCAACCGCCACCTAATGTACGCCACCCACTTCCCCCTCCCCCAAGACGAGATGTCGGCCCATGAATGTAATCAGCGGCTGGTTCTGCTATACGGCTTTGGCAAGGCCCGGGACGAAGCCCGCCACACTGCTCGGCGCATCCAGCGGGAGACCCTGCGGGCCCTGGGTAGCAAAAAGGAGACCACACCAGGAAAGAGTGACAGCAAGGCCAAGCACATCAAATCTGAAGGCCAGCCCGTCAGCTTCGAACATGTCCTGGAGCGCTACCGGACGCTGTCCTACTTCGACCAGCATGCCGTGACAGCAGCCTGTGCATCCCACGTCCTGGAGCAGGTCCAAAGCTGCACGCAGGGCTCACTAGACAACCTGCCGTCCGTTGAGCAGATCACTCTGGTCTTTGAACTGATGGAGAATGCCCTGAACATACACGCCCTCTTGGAGTTTTCAGTACAGCTACTGAATTACATGAGCATTGTCGAAGCAGAGCTGACGCAGAAATCATCCCCCCTGGCTGGGAACTACACTCCTAACCTCTGCCTGTCCATCGTGGCTGTGCTGCGGAGATACCAGGCATGTTTGCTGGTGTCCCAGGAGCAAACGGCCACCGTCTTTGAGCTGTAAGTTCATTTTCCTTAGACTGCTTAATGTAGTTGGGCTCAACAAAAGACAAGATGCTACCACTGTTGGTCAGTAAGGAAAGACTGTTCTCACTGCTTGTTGGTCTGCGATTCCGTAGGCTTCACACCTTGTGGAGATTCAACAGAATCCACTTGGTGATATGCTGTTGGATTCAAATGTAGGCTTCACAGGACGGTAACCCTCGTTCCATTTTTGAACGCTGGCCAACGTATGTTTATCACTCAGAGCAATTCACAATACCCCTAAACCTTTATTGAAATGCAAAAGAGTCAACATAATGTGGCCCTGTTACATAGTGATCATGCACGACTCCAAACCACAACTAGATCTTGCATTCCACTCCGCTTTTCACTACATGAGGTGCTGCAGTCATTCAAGAACGTCTTCAATTTGTCAACTTGCACCAATCTTGCTGAGTGTCTGTTATCTTGATAGCTTGATAGGTGGGAAAGCATGGGGTTGTTAATACTGGTGTCAACCAATGAGCCAGATATTAACCCATTTGGTATGAAATTATTTTGGGCGCACTGTTTTGCATATCGTCCCCATTGGAGACATTGTAATGACTAACAGTATTTCTTGGACTTTTGGTTATCAGTGAGGAAATTTTTTCTGTTGTTATTTTTGGATAGATTATGTGGCATAGTGAAGCATGTCACTAATGTGACGGTGTGCTCTTCAGCCGAGCGCTGCATCCTTGCCTATCTGTATGAACTATACACATCCTGCAGCCACGTCAAGGTAATTGATGCAACTTGGCTTTCTTGTTACAGTGTCCTCAAGAAGTTTCATTACAATCCGTCAATTCAGTATTTCAGTGGCATAAGGCGATACGACCTAACTATACCCGACATCAAATGAGCTTGAATGTGTTCACTGCGTGTAAGTGAGCGACCACAGTGATCGGTTCCATCACGCATATATTTGCATAATAATTATCTCAAATGAACCTTGACACACTTAATGTTGTGCACAGATTACTAAACCAAGTGATGGCTTTTTTATGTACAGAGGAATGTTATCTTCAGACTCCTTTCATCCTGTATGTTTGTTTTATCGTTTTTGGTCTCCCTGGACTGTCCCGATTTACTTCTTCTTCTCCCGTCAATTCTTTGCCACCTAGGCCAAGTTTTCAGACATGTTCAGCAGTGTTGCCTCCAAGGTCAAGCAGACGTTGTACACCAGCGTGCACCCTTCTGAGTCCAACCCGCTCTGGAACCCCAAATTCATGCAGGAGTACATTCAGAACCCAAGGTCAGACTCGGCAGAGTTTAGAACCCACACCACCCAAAGAACAAGCAGAGAAATGGTTGATTAGGGAAATGTCTTTGTTTCGATCCAGTGCCCATTTTGAGAATTCGTAGAGTTGAGTGTGCAGTAAGAGTTTTTTTTGTTTTGTTTTTTGATGCTGTAACTATTTTCCGAATTTCTGGATGAAACTTGTTTTTGAAGCATTTTATGTCCAGTCAAACAGAAATACATGTATTGTAAACTTCTTGATGATGATGATGAAACATTTATTTCAGTGCTGTCATTCTTTACAGTGTAGCCAAACATGTTCACATGACTTAACCCTAACCCCCAAGGGTTGCTGGCCCTAACCTTCCCCATTCACACAAAGTTAAACACCCATATGAGACTTTGTGCACAGAGGCTGTTTGACTTTGTTTTTCCGAGGTATGCCAAACCCAGTGCAAAAGCCAGCTGTTATGGGCCTACCAGACCTATCCCCACTGAATTAAACACTTTACTACTGTTTAATTCTGTGTGGTTGGGGAAGGTTAGGGTTAAGTACTGAATATATCTGGCTATTAAATGGAGTAACATTACATAACATAGGATTATACATTTGATTAAATTAGATGGCAACATTTAGGTTTGAGGTTAAGCAGGAACGCTTTTGTATTGAGAGATATGATGCCCTCAAATAGGAAATGTATGGTGTCACTATCCCCTCAGTCAGTGGATATGACGTGATGAAACCAAAGGTAGAGTGGCCGTGTTGCAGTTGCGTGCCTTCTGCTAGATATTACGAGTCTATGTTGATTTTAATTATGGGTTTTCCACTTACTCGACGTATATATTTATAAATACCGTATATTCAGTGCTTTGTCAGGTGTAAGCTTGTGAATTTTTTCACAAGCTCTCGGACAAAGCTCTGAGTGAACAGTGTTTATAAATGTATGCATCAGGTAAAAGGCAAAACCTGTAATTAAAATCTCTCCAATGCAAAGTACATGTACATCTTGAAAAGCAGTCTATGTTGGTTGCCGCAGCCAGTTTCCATAGAAACAACTATTTCAAAGATGGATTTACATCTCCCCAGCGCAAATCCATCTTTGAAATAGTTGTTTGCCATACCCGCTGCTACATCTGATTCAAACCAGCCAGTCGACACCGGCAAGGTCGGTGGTCAGTCGAGTGGTTAAGACGTCTGCACTAGTAAGCAAGAGGTCGTGGGTTCGAGTCCCACCCGAGTACGCTTGTGGTTTTTCCCAAGCTTTACACTCGGTATACCGAGTTAAAATACATGCCGGACAGGGCAAAAATCCAAAATTAAGGCAAAGAAACATACAATTACACACACCACCATTTAATTAGCAATCCCTTGGACTTAAATCTTCTCAGTTTCTCAGGTACTTTGTGGTATATAGTGACTTGTGTTGTGCCGTTCTATATCTAAAGGGATCTGCAGTTTCACCACACTTCATTGGGCAAACAACTGAATGAGAGCTCAACGGACCGTTACAGCTTTGTGTGCAATGTCCTGCTCTACATATGCAGCCCTACAGAAGTGCAAATGTAAGTTCAGCTCTGCAACCTGGCAGAGTGTGAAAAGGAGCTATCAGCTCAGAAAAAACATTGTGTAGAAGACACATAAGAAGCCACATATCACACAATTTACATTGTTTGCAAAGGAGAAACAGTGGTTGGATTGTCAGTAAATATGATGGATCCTTCCAGAACCAGGCTGAAGTGGGTAACTTCGTTTCCCTGAAGAAGTGGGACTTCTATGGATAGTTAAGTTCGTGGAAGTTCCACAGCTGTCATTCTTTGTAATTACCAAAGCTATTTGCAGACAGAATGTAGTCCTTGGATCACTTTGAAGTATGAAAATAAAGTGGGGGAGATTAATTGTCGAACAGCGTAGGTTGCCTACTTCAGCCTGACTTGGAATTGTGGATCACAGTGTTGTTGAAAGTCACAGAAGAGTGCCGCACAGTTGTTGTGACATGACTCAAAAAATGAGCTCACAGCAGTTATTTCCTTTGGAACTGCAAGTTTTTAAGGTAAATTGCCTTTCTGTGTATGGATCTTTAGTTTATGAATATGTATACTCGTGCGTTATCTCCAGATTTTGGCTTGTTTCCTTTTAGTATATCTTGAAAGGTTGGATACCTGGAAAGGTGACGGTTTTTGTGAAGCTTTTATTTCCAAAATGCTGTGTTCACCAGAAAAAGACAACTTTTCTGTGTTTTTAGAATTTTGAGAAAAAAAAAGTTTTAAACAGGTCCTGCAAACAGTTATTTTCCACTTTTTGATTCAAAAGTTGTCGGTTAGTTAAATCTTCTTTCCCTGTTCTTTAAGCAGGCTTAATGCAGTCAGGATGAGATTCTAAAAGATATCAAAATGTCCCTTATCACATTTTGGAGATTAACTCGTCATACGTTCAGTGCATTTGATTTTCTTTTTTCTTTTTTGGTTAACAGGTTGAATGACCTGTCCATCATGTGCGCCGAGCTGACCTCCTGCTGCAGCGCGCTGAGCTCAGAATGGCTGGGCGTGCTCAAGGCGCTCTGCTGCTCTTCCAACCCCAGCTGTGGCTTCAACGACATCCTCTGCCAAGTTGACGTGAGTCGGGGGCACAATTTTTTTACCCAGGAAGGGGGTGCGGGGGATGATTTTGGACTAGAGTGAGGAGACAAGGTGTGGATGGTGAAACCTATTTTGTCCCGAAAGGAGCAAATACAGAGCAAAAGAAAATGGAAATTTAGTTTTAAAAGTGGTACTTCTAAGATTATCAAAGGAATAGGGCAAATAGAACGAAATGCAGAATTTACTTTTGCAGACAAAACTCCATATGGTTGCCATACTTTTGCATACTCTCTGCAGTCAGACTTTTATTGTCTTTAGTTATGGACAAAAACTAAAGTTGCAGGTGAAATGCTGACCACTCAGAAGAGTGGCCTATTGTCATCGATTTATTGTTATACTCATGGTACATTCAACAGTAAAATATTGAATAGCCAAGGGCTTCCTTGAATCAATCCTGTATTAAAGGATTGTCGCAGCATAAGAACCACTACACTACTTGTCATTGCTTAAAATGTGCCGTCATTGACTACAAAGCAACATGAGATCTTCATAGTTGGAACCTTAGACCTTTCTTTCAGTATTCCAATTTAATCACGTTCTTATTTATTTATTACTATTTATTAAAGAACACCTGGTGGGAATGCTATGTTGTTTCAAGAATTGTGCTGATTTTTCCACAGCACACATTGCCAGGTGTGTGATTGGATCCCACTAAATGGTAATTGCAGTGTTGGCTTGGGTCATTTTTCCACAGCACGCATTGCCAGATGTATGATTGGATCCCACAAAATGAGACTCGTAGTGTTGACTTGGGTCACAGGTTGTGTTGAAAAGAAACTGAAATAACTGAGTCGCATGAAAGCTCTTTGCGTAATTTAGAGACGCCGAAAACTGCTGTTGCAGCATTTAGCTTTGAAAAAGTGTATGCTGGTTGCCCTTTGCATACAGGTGAATGATCTTTCCATCCATGACTCGGTAGCCGTCTTTGCAGCCATCCTGATTGCTAGGCATTGCTTTGCATTGGAGGATGTAGTAGAACACGTGGCCTTGACATCACTGCTGGACTTCACCACACCATCACTCAACGGTACGACTAACATGCATATTCATGAATGCTGCCCAATGACAAGCACCTGTTATGTGTCAGATGACTCATCATGTGTCCCTTGGAATGTGTTGATTTACTGCTGCTGAAGTCAAGATCTAGCTGGGATGCCGCATATCACTGTAATACTTGCATATTGAGCCATTGCCCTACTTTGCTAGGAACCTTCCAGATTCCGTTATAGCCCCCCCGACATTACAGGAAAGAAGTAGAACAGGTTTTGGTCTCTAACTATCAGGGGGCATCAAGCCCCACTGGAACTGATAGGATAGTGGCCGGACTGTTCTTCCATCAATCCTTCCTCAATCCAAGTTCCTCTAAACTCATTTGCAAAACTCTTTTTCACTTGTAGCTGTTCTTTGCGGCCAGATTTTTCAATTTTTTTTTCTGTTAACAAGCTGAAAACCTCATTACTAAGCAAATAGCAAACTCCATTTTAATGAAACGCGCGGGTTTTTCCCCTTCGGTTGAATCCAGCGGGAACTCAGATGGAGTCGGATGCCGAGCCTGGAGCCAGACTAATGTGCCGGCTGCTCCTGCGCCTCCTGTCCACGGGTCCCCTGCCGGGTCAGTCGGACAAGAACGGCTACTACGTCAAGTCGTCCTGCGACCAGCACCTGCTGGCCGCTGCCCACCGCAGCATCAGCGTGGAGGCGCTGGTGGGGGTGCTAAAGGCCATCCTACTGCTGGGTAAGCATCTTGATGGCACTGTCCAAAGCTTTTTTAGACTTCATATTGATTCAAGTACTACTTCAAGTGAGTACGGCTCTGGGGATCTTACTTTTTGACACTTTTTTCACACTTTGCTTTCAAACATTGAAATTTTTACCCGGGAAAAAGGGATTTTGTGGATCACACTGCTGATGGATTTAAGGCCAAAATTTCTGTAAGCACTTTTAAGAAATGGCTAACAACAGCCATGCAAACATCCCACAAGTCAAGAATGGACCCAAACATCAGAAAATTTTCATATTAGACTGTTGTGCCCATTTAGACTTTTGAGGTCCTCCGTCAGTAGAAGTTGTTAATCACTCAGAAAATGGTCCTCGTTACGCAGGTGAGGCGGGTGTGGGGGGCGGCACCAGCGGCAGCTTTGACGACTTCACCGAGGACCCCAGGTCCTCAGGCTCCATTGAGACGGCCAGCCTGAGCGACTATGCCAAGTTCACCCTCAAGACCATCTGCAGCCAGAGCTGGGTGCGGGAGATCTTCCTGAAGGACCCTGACCGACTCTGGACCAGGGAGGTTCTGCTGGACCAGGTTTTGTCCCACAAACACGTAAGGCTGGCACCCGTTTCAATCCTAACGCCTCCAAACACTGTTTTTCCCTGATCTTTTCTTGGTGTGAACAAGAGAGGGCGTGCTTTTTACGTAGCAATGACAGTCCTTTGGGCTGGAATTCATTGTTCATGTGCACAGGTTTGTGGTGTGGGATGCGCTTTGATAGCATCGTATATGCACCTTGCGCGTTTATGAGCCACTTTCACAACTTCCCACTCGCCTTTGTCACCTTTGCTGGTAAGGGTGCACTGCAGCTTGGGTCGAATAGTTGTCTCATACTTTCTGGAAAAAATTGTAAGAAAATCGGGCCCGGTGATCTTGTGAAACGTAACCATTTCGAACACATGGTGTTTAGAATTGTGGTGTTGAGTATGCATCAGCCAAACATAGGTCACGTTTTACATTAGAGGTTACGACAAACAAGGAGACCTTTCAGTTGTTTGGATTGACACTCAGCAGAATAACTAACGCATGGCTGCCTATCTGAATGAGATTGCCGATTCATTGTTGCGCTTGTGAGTCTTGGCTGGAATTAAGTTCACTGTACTGCGCAACTTAACTCACTGACAATTTTGAAAGCACCTAGAATTGACGATGTACTTGTCCATAGCGCACACTTGTCCGAGGACTTCATAATGTGTGATCTGTTGATGTTTGGTTTTGTCTGTGTTTAGGCTCACTATTTGGTGCAACTCATCTGCTATCCTAACGGCGTGCCTCTGATATCGGACGGCAGCTATGAAAGTGAGCAGAAGCAGGCTATTACCAGAATACTCAGGGTGAGTTGGTATGAGCTGTTGCAAGGAGGGGAATATTGCATAAAATTTGTCATGGGCCAGGAATTTGGCGCCCGACTGTATTTCACTGACAGTTTGGTGACAGGTTAATGTGTGACATGATATTTTTCACATCCGAGATTTGCATGCACCTGAGATAGAAGGGTGTAGAAAACATTTTTTCCTGTGACAGCAATCAACAGTTGTTCTGTATACCTCTTGCCAATAAGGAATTTGAAAAAGTTAAATCATTGCTATGTAACCTTTTATCCCAAAGAGGTATATTTTGGACTTGGCTTTGCGCAAGTTTGTTCTGCCAGTGGTCTTGACGTCACTTTTGTAAAGAAGTTTCACTTGTAAATGTGAAATCTGTCTTTCATAGTGCCCAACAAAGAGTTCTAGATTCATGTACATTAATTTGAAATGCTAATGGCCATAACTGCAAATCTTACACTGAAATGTTGCAGAAAAAAAAGAGAATGGATGTCTCTGTCCAGACCAAGTTTCAGTAAGATCTGTCTTCTTTTCAATGTCACAATTTTTCTCCATGATATCTTGGCCCAGAACCTGGACCAGTGGACCCTGCGTGTCTCCTGGCTGGAGCTGCAGCTCATGCTGAAGCAGTGCGCCAACTCAGAGATGAACCCCCTCCTGGACAACATCGCCAAGGCAACCATCGAGGTGTTCCAACAGCAACACAGCGACGAGGGTTCAGCGGCCACTAAGAGTGCCCCCGGCGGGCAGAACGGTCAAAGGAAAGCAGTGCAACAGATCAGGTACGCCAACAGTAACAGATATGTTGGTTTGGAATGTTGCCAAGCTTCCTGTTACTTTGCGTTCATTTTGTCATGTTTGCATGTTCAGAGGTTTAACTTATTGTTGGGCATCTGGCATTTTCTAACTAATTACCTCATTTGAACAGAGGAGTGTAAATATATTTTTTTACACTCTACAAAACTCAAGAA